AAAAAAAATAAATTAAAAATAATAATAATAATAATAATGTTTCATAATATAGATTATATTTCAAAAACTAATATTTATTTATATCTACATAAGCTATAAGTGTGTGATTACAGAAAATTGAAGTGAAATATATTAAATTATAGCAAAACTAGTCAGATGTAATATTTGGTATTATTTATATACAACATTATATGAGAGCAAAAAATATAATGAAGATAGACTACAATTATAAGATATCTATAAGGTGTAATTATGAGAGAATAAAAATCACAAGGTCAGTTAAAAAACTAAATCTAATAGACTCACAAAGGGTTACTACCGCGTACTACTTTAATAAATTAAAAAAAAAAAAAAAATATTCTGAATTAATGTAAAATAAGTTGTAACGGATTTACAATATAAAAATATAATTGAGGTAAATATAATGAGCATATAAATAATAATATATTAACAATTAAAATAATTTATCAATAATTTTTAATAACAATATACTTGTTTAAATTTGAAGTGAAACTCTTTTGAAATTAAAGTATAAGTTTGCACATTTTCAGAAGCTCATAAAAGTATGTAATGATTTTTAGTGAAAATAAATTTCTAGGCGCAGCCACAAAGTATGCAATAATAAATATATTAAATATGTGTATGTCAGCTTAAGCTCTCTTGTTAAAAATATGTATATATTGTAAATAGTTATGTTAATAGTGATAAATAAAATTAGCTTATATTTTTTTTAAATCAGTCTAATCTACATATATGATGAAAGTAGACACTAATAATTAATTTGTTCTCTAATTAATTAATTAAATTATTAATTTTGTTTGCTTTTGCTCCCATAGATAAAACTGGACAACGAGAAGCTGCGACGCGATGTGCGTCTGTCCAGCTCGCGGCTGGACCTGCCACTGCTGTGCAATGTGGGGCGACGCCTCGACGGGCACACGAACGGCAACGGCAACAGCAACAACAACAATAATGGCAGCAGCAACCATGTAAACGAGCCTACAGCAAATACACAGAACGGCAATGGCAACAGCAGCAACAACAACAACAATTTGGGCTCCCCCGTTTCCTGCTCGACCACAAACAGCGGCAGCGGCAACGAGCGCGGCTCCTCGACCAAGTCAAACAGCAGCAGTGGCAGCGGCAGCTCCGGCAACTCAGCCAGCAGCACGGGCAGTGCAGAGCTCAAATGCAATTCGCCCATGACACCATCAGGTGGGTAGTGGCAGGGGGTGAGGCAGCTAAGGGGTTGTCGGAATTTGAGTCTTGTCAACATTCGCAATGTTTGCATTTTTAGTGCGTGGGGTTCATACGCATCGCTGGCATCGAATGCGAATTAGCAAAGCTCACGCTCTCTGAGTTCAGGCTGCAGGTGGGCTGGCAGAGAAGGCGTGGCATTAATTAATTTTGTATGCAAACGAGGTCAAGGTCGCAATAAATCTGCCACGTGGGCTAGTTTTCAATTACTTATGCTGGAGCGCATCAAAAAGCAAATGAAAAGGTGGAGGGAGGGAGATGTGAAAGGAAAGATTAAAGAAGTTGCAATGCAAATTTTATGGCAAAAAAATTTGTTAGCAGATTGAAAAGTTGCACTACAAATTATAATAAGAGATTACCATCTTAGTAACTTACTGCTCAACCTTCTCTTCGCCCAATTATAACTTGTCAAAAAGTTGCTATAATAATTATAGTAAAAGATTTCGAACCTTAAAGATTTCATGTAAATCTGTTACATTTTTTCCTGGTTTATTTAGACCTTCTTAAAAGTTGCTATTATAATTATAATTATTATTCGTCAACTATTTCTAGCTAGTTATATAGTTCAAAGTTGCCATAATACATATAATACGAGATTATATACCATATATATAACCATATAACCAACTCAAACCTGCTCCTTACCCAATATACTTGTCTGAAATTTGCCATAATAATTAAAAAAAAACATTATTGTTCTATGTGCATTTTATATAACGCTCTCATATCTTCTCCTCACCTATTCAGAGCTTGTCAAAAAATATCGCAACTACTTGACTGATCTGGAGTTCGAAGAGCTGAAGGTATACAAAGAGGTCTGGTACTTTGGCCAGCATGCCAGCAAGAACTACAAGCCCGCCCCGACAGCCAGCACCACAAATCTGGGCTATGACGATGACAATGGCAACTACAAGATCGTAAGTGAAAATCAATATGGTCTATATGAATGCGATCAGCTTTGCTAACACTTTTGTTGTACTGTCTATCCCTATGCCAGATTGAGCACGATCATATAGCCTTTCGCTATGAGATTCTGGAGGTGATTGGCAAGGGCAGCTTTGGCCAGGTGATCAGGGCACTCGATCACAAGACCAACACACACGTGGCCATCAAGATAATCAGAAACAAGAAGCGCTTCCTCAACCAGGCCGTCGTAGAGCTCAACATTCTGGACGAGCTGCGCGAAAAGGACGCCGATGGATCTCATAACGTAATACACATGCTGGACTATACGTACTTTCGCCGGCATTTGTGCATTACCTTCGAGCTGATGAGGTGAGCCACTCATATAGAGTATATATAATATAATTCATTGTTGATTTTACCCACATTGTTTATGCTGTGACGTCAATGGCGCCTTGATTGGCTGTCACTGTGCAAATAATACGCCGTATTTCTTGCTTAACTTGCCAATTAAAAACGCGTCTTCCACGCATTTGCCTATTAGCATTCCACACGAATTAAATGAATTTATTCGCAACTTCTCCTCATCTCCTCCTCAGCCGCATTTTGTTTTATTTGCCCTTTGCGTGCGTTGCGGCTATTACGGGACATGCCAAGTCCTTCTTTTTGGCTCTGACAAGTGCCTAGCACGCATTATGCCGATCCTCTGTTGCGCTTTTAGCCTTGGCAACCGAAGGCCCCCACTACTTCACAGTTAACATGTGTGTGTGTGTGTGAGAGACGACCCCATCTATAAATAGCTATGGAAAACCTGCTCAGATTCGAGTAGATTCTATTATTAACACACATATTAGCAGCGTGTGTGTGATATGTGTGTGTGTGTGTGTGTCACATATATGTGTTTAACTAGTTGTTGTTGTGCTTTCGATTTTGGCTTTCCTTTTTTCTATGGGCTCGTAATAAATCGCTGTGCGTTTTCTTTATTAATGTCGCCCATAAAACTCAAGTGATTTGCCATAATAATTTGACAACGCTTTTTAATTGCTTTTATTACTGCGCTTAGGCAGCCATTTCTTTATCATATGTACATATATTTGTGTTCATATATATATGTTTATAAAAGCATACAAAACTACTTGAAAATAATGGCAAAATTATTATTATAGTTCTGTATGCGCTTATTTGAGTTTGATTACTTTTGTCAATATATGAGGAAAATTTTATAATCCAAGGATATCAACTGAAACGAAAGAGTTAATATAATTTCTGTAGACAATATATATATATGTGAACAATTATATGCATCGATTAAAATACTCTTTCGATTGACTAGTCCAACACCCACTCATGCTGCCTCTTTCAGGCACTTGAATACATATAAGTGTAGTTAACTCTGCACAGCTCCAATGCAGTGAAAGCATAGAGAGCAGAAAGCAGAGAACAGAGCTCAGCAGAATAGACTGCATAAGCTGATGATACTCACTCTCTGTCAAGAGCACAGTTCAGCAGAGTATATTGTGGAAACAAGCTGATTCCTCAAGATGAAAGTGAGTTTGGGCTCTCTACTTGATACACTTCCACAGTGTATTAAGCTGAGATCATAGAATGAGAGAGAGAGAGAAAGAGAGAGAGAGCACTGGTAGATTGAGCCGCATTCCCGCTCTTACTAATCCAACTTCATATGCTATTGCTGATTCATAATTACTTATTACTAGATAATACACATTCACATGATTCAACACATATCATAGCTCAATGAGTCTAGACTCTATCTAGACTCTCAAAAGCAGAGTCAATTTTTCATTGACAACTTTACTAATTTATATCAATCTAATATGTATTAAGTAAAAGATCAAATCAGATTAGGAAAAGGAAATATTGTATATATAAAAAAAATAAGAATATATTTCTAGCAGAAGCTTTATTACATATAAAACATATATACGAATATATATATGTAGGTATATGCATATATGTATGTCTATATGATATATATCAAAAGCCATTAAGCTTAATGCTGTCAATCGGGCAACTCATTTGGCTTCGCACAAAGCCAACACGCGCTCTTCTTATCTACTTTGGAAGCCCTACAAAACGCCTTTTGCCTGTGCGTATTTGCCACTGTGTGCGAGTCCTTAATAACCATATATATATTACAAAAATACCTTATTCTGCAATCTCTCTAGCTTAATTAAAGTTTGCCATAAAAATGCTTTAACAATTTATAGGTAATTTAAATGCAGCTGCCAGCAGATGCGAGTAAGCAAATAAATTTCCATTTTAGTTTGCCTGCATGTCAGACCACACACACACACACACACAGTGCACACACATGTGCACACACTCGAACTGACAGGCAGCGGATGTGTATGCACAACAAACCGCAGGCGGCGCCGCGCAGCTATCAATTTCAATTTAAATATTGTGTTGCCTACTTTTCCGCTGGCCTGAAGTGAGCCTGGCTCGTGGCTAAAATGCAGTTGGCTGCGTGTGTGTGTGTGTGTGCGAGTGTGTGCCTATAGATATTTACCTGTTGTTGCTTTGCGATAAAATCGCAATCTAATTGATAGACAGCCAGCCAGCCAGCCCCATATCAGGTGTTGATTGCATGGACTTGCTAGCTGTGTCTCTCTCCCTCTCACACACACACTCACTCTTTCACGCGGCCTGCCTGCATATGTCAAAGCTCAGACAGCTGGCAACGCAAATATGGCAGCACGCGATACCAAAAACAAAATGCAAAAAACAAGAAAAAAAAACTAAAAGAGGAAAGAAATATGACAACAGTGAAAGGTAACAAAAAAATGAAACAAGAAAAGCAAAGTTTTACAATTTGTTGAAGGTCATGGTTTCTTAGCCATTGACTTGTTTCCGTTTCCTGCTTTGTGCCACGCCCCTACCGTCGGCCGCTTGACATTTCCCTTTAATTTGTCTTAATTGCAGCTAACTCGGCTCGTTGCGACATTTCGCGATTCGCCAGAGATTCGCGATTTCTTGGCAATGGTTTTAAAGCACGCCATCTGGCGGCCATTGCTGTCCCCATATATCGAACAAGAATTTCAATAGCATTTCCATGCACAAAGTAAATTAATTTATTTAGTTGCTGTTGTTGTGCTTTTTGGCACTAATTAGCCGCAAAACAGCAGCTCGAGTGCGCATTTTACTTTTTGGCTGTTTTTTGACCATGGCCAGGCCAGGGATTGGGGCAGGGATGCAAGGCGAATCCTTCGTTGCTGGCAAAGTTTAAAGTTTGTTTTGAGCGAGTAAACAAAATTGCGCGGCTTAAGTTTGACGTAATTAAATTTACGTGCACGCAATTGAATTTGGCCCATGTTAATTTGTTGTTGTTGTTGTTGTTGCTGTTGTTTGTCGGGCACAAAACTCGCAAATTGAGTTAGTTGAGTTGATTAAGTGGATTAGCGGCTGATTCATGAGCTGCCGGAAATAGCAGCGAAACTTGTTGTTCCCCGATTGATTGAGCGAAATATTTGACTAAATGTGATGGCCACAAGAAATTTATATTAGCTTTACTCAAATGAGCTCAACTTGAGTCAACTCCTCTCCCAGAATCTCTCAAATTTTCGCGGTAATTGCAATTATGGAATGCACTTGCTGCTTAAACTTTGCTAATTGGCAGGGGTTAGTTCTAAAGGGCGACAAAAAAGGGAGAGAGAGAGAGAGAGAGAGAGAGAAAAAACCACAAGCTTATTAGCCTAATTAGCATGTTCTTCGCTGCGGAAATACAGACAGCAAAAACTCAACGAAATAGACACAGCGCGAGGCTGAGAGGCAGCTAAATAGGTAAATAGGTAAGGTAAGCAAATTTATGTGTAATATAAGCCAGGGCGTTGCAGCCTAACACACACACACACACACACGCACATGTGGGACGAGAAAGGACAAGGTCTGACTCGACTCACCCACACACACACACACACACACACATTCAGTCGCTGCCACCTGCAATTGAGTCCATTTGGCATGGCATCGGGGCATGTTTTGTGGGGCGGACACGTAATTTACAGCGACAGCGATAAAATGAGCTGCCAAAACTGCCAAAGATGGTCACATTTACAATATGGTCACACTGTGCGACGACCATAACTATGCAGCATATTGTGTGTGTGTGCCTGTGTGTGTGTGTGTGTGTACGTGGATGACGCTGCCAAACGATGTTGTCATGGCCAAATTTCAGTGCGGTCTCTGTGGGTGTCAGGGTCATAAATTCTGGTTGCTGCTGCAGAGTGGTTCCACGCTCTCTCCCTCTCACTTCACTCTCTCTCTTCTCTTCTCTTTCAGCCATTGTTACTGCTCATTTGGGCCATGTGTCAAGATTTTGATGTCTCGGGTCTTTGAATGTAGTTTTTTTTTTTTTTTTTTTTTTGCCTTTCAATTTGCACATGATGAGATAATCAAATAATGTTATCTAGATGAGCTGTTGGCTTTTTTCAAGCTAGAGCGTTAACTAATGGCAGCTGTTTAAGGCGAAAGCTAAATCAAACTGGGACAATGATTAATTGAAGTTAATATAAAATGCAAAAGTATTTAGGGATGAGTGACATTTGCTATTAGAAATGTTAGAAATGTTTCAAGCACATGCTGGAATTTATTTGAAAGCTCCTTTAAAGCTGAAAGCTGCTAGACCTTAAATATGAAGCTTGATCTGAAACCTGCTTCTCTGCTTTAGATACATAACTCTCTGCTAGATCAACCTTGAAAAGCTTCAGAAAACTCATATTTATTAAAAAAAAAAAAAATTAAAATAAAAATAAAAACAGTATACTCTTTCACTTTCGTGAATGAGTCTAAAAAATAATAATAATAATGCGTATTTAAAGTGGGGTGACAGCTTTTAAGCTATTATGTATTTAGCAGAACTGCTATACTACCAAATTAATCCGGAAAAGTATCAATCGAAACTTTTTACCTTTCATTGAGCTCTTTTAAGGCTCTGAGCATATTTACTGATCCCTAAAAGCTCATTTTAAAACCAAATGTTGTAAGCACATTATCAAGTTATGATGTTTTCACTTTCGCTCACTTTTTATTAAGCTCCCTTTAAGCTTCACTAAATAACTTTCTGTAAAGCTCTGTTGGCAAATAAATTGTATACCACGAACGATCCCTGAGCTGTGAAAGCTGCTTAAAGCTAACCCATGCTAACTTTTAGCTTATGGCGAAGCTCATGTCATGTCACCAATATGAATCATGTATATATGTATTTATATATACATATATGTATATTTGTATTCATATGCAATTCATACGATATGCTGTCAGGAGCCATGTAATCGTCCATTTGTGACAAGGCGTTGAGCAGCGTCCGAGTCGTTGGATATTCAGAGACTTTTAATTAAAACGCACAGCATGCA